AGGACACAATATCGAAGATAAAATACACTGCACTGTTTCTAAAGTGGATGAAACCTTCTTTGAAATTTTCTTCAGCCATTTATGATTATGCAAAAGTACAATAACTGGATGATATTTGCGAGATTCGGCGATAAAAAGCAAACAAAGACGGCAAAATATGGCTGAAATCGTGTTTTCGTGGGGGGTAAGTGAAATAAAATGTATTATATTTAAAGAAAACAATCACAATCCTTATGATATCAACAATATTTATATTAAATTAAGCATAGTTTTTCACCCCATGATAATTTTTTTTAGGAAATAAGAATATTTAATTTCTGCCAGGCATATTAGTTATTTATGCATAATTAACAATTTACCTGGGGTGGTGCATGGTCATTTTCTTGTAAAATATTTACTTAGACAATTTTTTTCTTCCAATGACCACCCCTAAAAGCAACCCTTCTAAACACTATAAGCACTTCAGAAGGACTATCGCATTTTGTTTTCTGAAGTTAGAGCTATGTCGACACTGTCGTTTCAGGGCGGGGTCATTTTCAGGACTTTTGTCCCGGATTCAGGTTTTGGCACATATGCCATGTTGACCGCCATGGTCATTTTACCCTAAAACAGTTGAGATTACCTGTGCTAAATGAAACGCATACAAACTCATAGACAGGTCCTAGACTATATCCAATACACCCTTCTGGAAAGTACGTCACTCTGGCTATTGAGCCTCGTTTTCGTGTATCCGAAATTAGTCAAAGCCTGATGCTCAGTCATGGAAACGAGTCCCTATAGCCAAGGTGACATGCTGTTCGGAAGCGCGTATTCATGTTTTGCTGACTGGGAGACAATTTGTCGACTGAGTGACGAGTGTTTTACCCCCTACACCCCCTCCCCTTGCCAGAAATAAACAAGTATATAGCAATTATTTGATACACACAGGTGAACAATATTTTCAAACAAACTAGGTATTTAAATTAATGACATCCTAAACACAGACAGAACGCAGTATCAATACTTGAACAACTATCATTAATTAGTCGTATGCACAATAAACTATACATTTAATGATCGAATATGTACTGTTCTAATTTTTTTATCAACCACTATGACTGAGAACAATTAGTATCTGCAATGAACAATTCTTATCTAAGTCTTTTTCAGATAAAATTAAGATACCTGGTGTTTCCTGTCATCTCTTGTATATAACAACAAAAAATATTTTGAACAATAAAGAAGAAACAACAATAGTATATTACTTCCACTCCTTGTCAAGCGCCATATTGAATTTTGTGGCCGTGTTAGAAAAAGCCTGGTGACTAGGTGCTCTGACGGATCTGAAATAGCCCTAACCGACAAAAATGGTGTTGAATGCATCCATAACCAAACTGGTGTGGACGCATCGAAAACAAAAATGGTGTTGGGCGCATCCAAAACTAAAATGGTGTTTGCGCATCCAAAACCAAAATGGTGTTGGGCGCATCCAAAACCAAAATGCATGGTGTTGGCGCATCCTAAACCAAAATGGTGTTGGACACATCCAAAAGCAAAATGGTGTTGCCGCATCCAAAACCAAAATGGTGTCGGACGCATGCAGAACCAAAATGGTATGGCGCATCCAAGACCAAATTGGTGTTGGCGCATCCAAAACCAAAATGGTGCTGGACGCATCCAAGACCAAAATGCTGTTGGATGTATCCAAAACCAAAATGGTGTTGGCGCATCCAAAACCGGAAATGGTGTTGTACGCATCCAAAACCGGAAATGGTTTTGTACGCATCCAAAACCAAAATGGTGTTGGTGCATCCCAAACCAAAATGGTGTTGGCGCATCCAAAACCAAAATGGTGTTGACGCATCCAAAACCAAAATGGTGCTGGACGCATCCAAAACCAAAATGCTGTTGGATGTATCCAAAACCAAAATGCTGTTGGCGAATCCAAAACCGGAAATGGTGTTGCACGCATACAAAACCAAAATGGTATTGGTATTCTATGGTATTCAAAATGGTTTGGTCAGCAGGGATGAATCGAAAACGTTCTGCCCCATAAATGCGGTTAAATATATGATCAGACACTATAGTTTAATACATGTATACGTAATCAATACCGAAATGAGACAAAAGGGTTTTAATTAAACTAGGGTGTTGTCTTGGCGTCGGAATGCTGTTTTTAGGGTTTGTAATCCAAGTGAGTATATATACACTTTAAGACCTGACCAGGAGCGACTGCAAAAAAATGCTGCAGAAAGTCATCCTCGATAGGAATTGAACCTGCGTAAAGGAAAAAAAAATGTTTGAAATAATTTATTTGCGATAAATCGGGGAAAACCAAGCAGTGGTAATTGTCTCATTTTGCCCCGGCGCAGTGAGGCAAAATGAGACAGGGCTAAAAAATTAAAAATAAAGTCAATATAATTATACTTATTTTAATAGAACTTTAGAACTAATTATAAAATACATGTTTCAAATAATTTTTAAGTTCAGTGTCACACACAGGTCACACTGGCTGCGGTAACAGTACAGCATTCTTTCTGATACCATTGTTTGCATTGTGAACAAGTCTTCCAACCCTCGCCAGGCATTGACTTTGACCAAAGTTCACCACAAAGTGATAAATTTTTTAGCCTACCATTGACTCAGCGATTTAATCCCTGTAGGCATTTGCAGCTTTCGTATTGACAGTTATTTCTTCTCAACTGCAGAGATGGCAAGACGGATTTGATCCTCATTCCATTTTTCATGTTGAGTTCTGCGTACATAGTTCCTGACCATCCTAATAAAATAAAAGTTAGTTTGATTTGTGACATGGACTAAAATGTTTTAAAATTGAATGGGGACAAGACTGAGTTACTAGTAATCAATGCACGAAATCGTTTATGCCCTGCTGTACACCATATAGAAATATCTAAGTCAATAGTTCAACCAAGTACTTCAGCACAAAACATCGGTGTAACCTTCGATCAACACATGTCCATGGATAAACATATTACCAACATTTGCAAGAACTGTTTTTTCCATTTGAGAAAAATAGCAAGAATAAAAGAGTACTTATCAAAATCAGATATCCAAACCCTAGTTCATGCCTTTATTACATCGAAACTGGATAATTGCAACTCTTTGCTATACGGACTACCTAAATTTCTTATGGATCGGTTACAGAATGTGCAAAACTGTGCTGCTCGTCTGGTGACAGGAAGCAGAAAATACGACCATGTTACTCCATTAATGAAACAATTACATTGGCTCCCCATTAGTCAACGCATCATCTATAAAGTTGTTCTTATTACATATAAATCCCTGAATGGTGCTGCTCCACATTACATTAACAATATGCTAAAACCTTACACACCATCAGCAAATTTACGCTCTTCATCCAAGGGACTGCTCACAATACCCTCAGTAAAATTGGTTAACTATGGTGAACGATCGTTCTCATATGCGGCACCGAAACTGTGGAACGAACTACCAGAACATGTTAGAAAGAGTGAGACCTTGCCTATTTTTAAAACTAGATTAAAGACACATCTTTTTAAACAGTGTTATGACTAAGTACTATTTTAACAAGAGTATTACCAATTTTATAGTATTTTATATAGTTTTGTTTTAATATTGTCAACATTTATAGCATAAAGTAATTTTATATTCATAATGAAAAGAACATATAGTACTTTTAGTATAGTTAATGTATGTATTACCAACCTTAGTATTATGCATGTACTTATATATAGTATATATTTTTAACACTTAATGTTAAGCGCCATTGAGCTACAGAAAATGGCGCTATATAAATGAGTAATAATAATAATAAATAATAATAATAATAATAAGCTGTTTATAGCATAAAATATATGACATATGAACTTATGATAAATTATAGAATGAAAGTACATATTGATTCAATCAGAAACATAAACCCTTTTAACTTTCTCAAGTAGGAGAAAGTGGTATTAAATCAACAATTGAGGACTTCAATATAATACAGATAGTACTGGTAATAATCCAAGATAGCATTTATATCATATATATTGACTGATTGACAAATATAAGGCAGAGCACAGTAAAAGGTGAAATGAACAGCAGCACACTGAACAAATATATATTACTTGATTTAGACTCACCTGTCTCATTTTGCCTCAATGATATGAGCTCAAGTCGGTCAAATAAACAAGCCAAAAATCAAAGTATGGATGAAAATTGACAAAAATACCACGTGTGACTTGAAAGACCATGTTATAAACCCCATCAAACAAATAGGTTTTATTGGATACATGCGATGTTCTAGAAATAACAATCGGTTAGCTAAAATAACTAAGTAATAACGTACCTTTACTTGCCGATCGATCATCCAAATTGGTTTTAAAATCGTTATTTTCTCGTTGTTGCCGTGCAAATAAAACGCTGTTTTCAACGAAGTATACAAGCAAAAATGTTTGTTATGAGCCTGCGATGATTATGGTACAAATAATTAAAAAGAACGTAATATAAGCGCGAATTACGAATGAGTCGGACTGTCTCAATTAACCCCACTGTCTGAATTTGCCCAGCATTCCCCTACCAAATTCTCATTCATTGAGATCAAATTTTATAGTAAATTTGTAAGTATGCCATTGCATTTCCAAAATCAATGCTTTTTTGTATCAAATAATGTGTTATATTGTTTCAATTATAGTCAATCGATCAGTAGTCTATATCACAAAATAGAAATAGGGCAGAAGCTTCACTGGAGTCGGAACCTTTGAAGTTTTTGTGCCGGCACATGTTACTTCCGGCGCTTTGGCCGCCATGTTGAAAGCAACCAACTCTGGTCGAAAACATTATAAGCTAATATGGCGAGACTTGTATTTTCATAACTTTAAATAAGTATATCGTCGTTATTTTATGGTGGATTTTATTGAAATTTTCAGGACGTACTAAAGAAAGGTAGATTATTCATTTTATCATAATAAAAGCTTATCAGTTAATAATGCTAAAATTGTCATTTTAAACGCATTGCTACTGCCTAATGTACGTGCTATTTTGGGAATATACATGCATTATGTTAATATTTTTCTGAGTGTAGCTTGAAATTATTACAGCTATTCTTAGACTTAGCTTGAAGAAAAATGCGTCATGTCTTGTTTTTAGAAGGCAGTAGGTTGAATTTTTTAAATTTCAGGCGCATACTCATACTGAGAATTTACCTATAATTCGTACTGCTAAACACAATTATATACCTGATCAGTGAAAGGAAATATCTTTGGGCTTCTTTTCTTAATTAACAAAAAAAAGTTTTGGACTAAACTCAGTAAACTACGCGAGTTGAATCCAATTTCACCAGAACTGGTTTATAATTTGTAACTTTGATAACTTTGATTGCTTATTATTATACAGTAAGATATTTGTTCACATCTATATCAAGCAATTAATCGATGGAGCAAAGTCAGTGGGCTGCAATCTTACTGTGGTCAAATTTATTTTTCAGCTTGCCTGGTGTAGATTTACTCTGTGTAGCAACATCGTAGTAGTTTGACCTGTGTATGATTACCATCAACATTAGATTTAACACCAGTCTCATTTAACATCACATCTTTTCCAACAGTCCAGCCCATTGTGACAATTGAAAAGTTTTTGAAAAATACATCTTTCATGATGTAGTCCAGAAGGCAATGTATTGGAACATGAAGACCACCAAATGTGTTTTCTGTTTGATCAAAGGCCTTGAGGAAACAAAACTGCTTCCTGTTATCATCTTGGCTATTACATTGTATAGCATTTGTACATGTGGGACAATCTTCACAGATTTATAGATCTAAGCTCAAATTTATGGAACTAAAATATATGGATTTATGGAACGAAAATCAAATTAAATATGGATTAATAATATGGATTCTTTACATCTTTGGGTGTTCTTTGCCAACAAGTCTTAGTAACTAAGTGGCTGTTTCAGGGATGGATCCAGCATGCTCTGGTAGGGGTGCTCTGGTGCCGACTGCCGAGTTATGTCGGTCACATGTGCCGCCCGCCCATCAACTACTGTATTTGAATTGTAATAAATTGTTGTTCACAGTTCACTTATCATCATGTCTTTTTTGCTTTATCATAAAAAATAGCCCCCCCCCCCTGCACCACTTCTGGCCAGGACTCCATCCATGGGCTGTTTACATGAGCCTTGCTAACCTAGGCACCAACCTTAATACAAATTCCTTAAAAAAAATCGACCTTAGCCTAGATCTACTTGAGTCGAGCAGGATGCCCGGATAACCGGGCTGAAATTTTCCCATGTAAAGTTCACTGTCCAGGTAACCGGGCTAATGTAAACAGCCTCTAGCTAATGCACCAGTCAGTGGTTTGCCCCGGGGGGGGGGCGGGGTATCGGACAAACCCATGGGATTTGACAGCTACCTGCTTCCCTGGGGCAGGAATTTGACGATAACATGAGCCAGACGGTCAGGAATTCGAGAAGTTTAATCTTGCATTTTTCATCATGAGGCCTGGGAACAAGTCTAAAAATGTGTGGTCAACGGCAGTTTTCACATTATTACACCTTCATAAATTTATTTTTGAAGAAGAAGTAGACAGCAATTTCTTTCATATCGCAATATTTTTTATATTAAACGATTGCAGGCCAATATATGCCAAGTTAATATTTCAATGCTCTTGGTTGACCACAGATTCACAGAAAGTTCGATGAACTCGATTTATTTCCTTCATCGTTCATGGCATTCACGTCCTTAATCCTTTTGTATACCATGAAATATCACCAACTTATCACACAAAACATATTTTATGGCGATCGGGCTAACCACACAGAAGCTATATAACTTTATTCGTTTATCACTATTCGCCAAGGACCGAGGTGAAAATAATCGATGTA